ATATCTTTCTCTTTTTTTGCTATAAAACAAAGAATGAAAAAGAGAAAACGGTGAAGCACATGACTTATGCTTCTCTCGCATGGAAATTTTCGATTAAGGCGGCAACGTTGCGAAACCGATGCATACCGATCTTGCATCCGTCAATTTGCGCCGCTATTCTGTTACATTAAAAGATGAACATCTGTCGGATCGAGCGACGGCGGAAATACAGCTCGGGGAAATTTTATTCGATTTCGCACCGCATCGCGTCGTCGATTTGACGTATTTATGGACGTGGATTTCTGTGCAATCTGGCATCACTCGATCACCATGCATGCACGTATAATAGATCGCGAGTGTTATTTCGGTACCGGGTGCGCCGAGTAACGTCATGTTACGCACGTGCGTGGGCGAGCGGCGGGCGGTTTTCGAAGATGCGATTTACTGCGATAATCGGCTTCTACAATCAAATCTTTCAGGCGCAAATTTATGTTAGACGCTGTTTGCTCGACGAAGAATAAACTCACTCGTGCGTCTGTGTTCTCACCATATAATCTAACATAATTTTAAAAGCGACGTGTGTCTTTTTGTAGAAACTTTACTTTCTTTTAAATAATAATTAAGTAATATTGATTACTAATTAAGTAATTAAGTAATATTTGATATAAATATTATTTTAAAAAGAATAGAAAAAGTCATACAATAAAAAATAAAATAATGCAACAGTTTTTAATGTTAAAATATAAATTTAAGGAGAAAAAAATTGGCGTTAGCCAATAATAACGTTGTGTTACTCACTCAGTATCAGGCACAGGTATCATAGGAGGAGGTAAGCGACCGTTGTAGTCCAAGAAATGATTGATCTCAGGTTCCTCTTGCACCGGAGTCTCGTAGACCAAGGTTTCAACCATCGATCCTTTGCTCGAGCCAAAGGATACTCTATAGAATAATTATTCCTTTTAAAGAACAAACAAGTAACACATAAAGTAAGTAAAATAAAATGAAATATCATCTACTCTAACAGTTTGTAGCTGCGCGCGATTGGAGCAGGTCAGACGTCAAAAAAAAAAAAAAAAAAAAAAAAAAAAAACTACGTCAGAAAATCTCGGTTTTCCATTACCGCAATTTGCGACCGCAAATAGATATCGAACTGAAAATCTTGCGATCGCCGCGCGGCATCGGATTGCGAACGAATACGATCGAAATCGAGAGGCAAAGCCATGTTTGCGACGTGGCACATATTGTGCTTGTTTATTATTCGCTTTGAAAGCGAATCGGAAAAAATCCTTGACTTGTCCAGTAATTTGCGATTTATTTTGTGTATTTATAAAGAAACACGATGAAAAGATTTGAACAGCAACAACTAGAGACTTGAAAATAAATGTATAAATTTGCGAAATACATAAATGTAAAACAAGTGAATTATACTAAATCGCGTAAGATATCGACTATAGCAAAGCGTTATTTAGTTTGTGAACATTCGCACTAATAAAACAGAAACCGGCGTAAACGGATCATCGTGGCGCGGCGCAAAACCGGTTTTTGCGAGACGAAGCGTGCTATAAACGCGTTCGTGTGTTGCGCACAGCTTTATTATTCATCGGTTTGCACAACAGAGTTAATCTTGTAGCCGGATAAATTTCTCGATGCGGTTCGCCGCGTGCGCCAAGGAATCAATTAAGTCAGAGACGTTGCGAGAGATCGATAAGTCTCACCCGACCGATTTATCGCGCGAAAGAGATAAATAAATATAAGAGATAACTGCTTTGTCTCTCTCTCTCTCTCTTGCTTGTTGGGCGCAACATCTCGCAACATTGAAGATGTTCCTTTGAATACATTGTTTCAACAACATGTGTATACAATCTCATTCTTTTTTCTCTTAAAAGCGTAATTATGCATAAATATCGTTTTATACGCAATAAGTGTAAAAAGTACGTCTGATAAAACTCGGATAGACCTTTTGCTAACTACGCAGAGCACCGACCACATTGGTTCTGGTCCATGCTAAAGTAAGTCGCAGTAGAGTGCTGCCATACGTGGCCGTATCTCGTAACTAGAAAGTGTCAAAGTCACGTGAGCGATCGACAAAGGCTACGGTAGGGGTCTGCGCACTTTCCGTGACTTTTTACTTTAGAATAAATTAATTGTGTGCAAAAAAAATAAGTGTGAAAAGAGCAAAAAGTTAAAAACATTATAAACAATAACTAAATATAAAACAAAGCGTAACTTTTTTTTACTCGAACGAAATACGCAATCTTTCTACAATGTTGTGTCGCAATCGTTTTGAAGTTGAGACAAAAAGGTCCAGTACAACAACTGGGCTAGATCGAAGGTTGGCGAGTCGTGGTCGCTTGTCAGCTGGCAGCCTCCCATATCGATCTAGCTTCGATCTGACCTCTAAATTATGCTCGGATGCACCGTCAAAAACCGGAATATCGCTCGTTCCAGAACTCTTTGATTGTTTCTCTTTATTTATGTTTTATTTAGAAAAATAAAACATAAACATTTTCTAAAGATGTAATTCGCATATAAATGAAAACAAAACGTAGAGAACAAGTAAAGATATGTCGTTAGACTCTCTCTCTTTACATCCGAAGAAATTTTTTTTAGAATGTCTATTTTTGCTTAATCGTAAAAGCACTGCTGCATCGGACTGTGATAATTTTACTCTCTCGGAGCTTATGTGGTATCGAACGAAGCGAGCCGCGGCGGCGAGTCGATTAGCGAGAGTATAGTCCGGGGTCTGTTGAGAATCGATTACGGAATCCCACGGTTCTTGTTTGCTATGTAGAAAATCGTCACCATTTCAATCCCTTTTGTGGCACACACAACAGTTTTAACTGTTACACTATCTAACCTTTTCAAACAATTGTCAACATATGACGTGTATCAATTACAAAACGTGAACACGCGTATTCGCATTGTGTTATATTTACAGATTGTCTCACATCTTTGCGTTAATAAACTAATTTTGCTAATCTATATATTTGTCGAACTGAGATTCCGTTTCCGTTTTCACCGAATACATCTTGCACGACGAAACATTCGATGGTATAACACTCGCAAAAATAGACGCTAAATACGCAACAGTATTTTCTAAGTACGCAACAACATTTGGCAGCGGGTCAGGTCATACAACATCCTTTCTATAGTGATTCAAACATCGCTGCCAGTATTATTACGAAGCGAGCTTAAATAAACGTTTCTTCCTCGAAGACACGACATTAATCCGCACCGCTCACTCATTGAATGAGAAAATAAGCAAAATGATAATGTGGAATTTTTATCAAAGACGCGGTCAATCATATGTGCTATTATAAACTATATTCACTTCGCGATATATTTTAAAATACGCTAAACTCGCGCGCTATTGAATAATTAACGCTGTAACAACAAGGCCGTATACGATAAAATCCATCGGTTTTATCGATATCGCGTGAAAATTGCAAGAATTGCATTTTTGCGCGCGACAAAATCTTCTTTCGAAACTCGTTTTTTAGTTTTTTGTTTTTTTTTTTCAAAAAGTAAAACCTTAAATCCTATATATGATTTATTTTCTTAATCCGTCACGATTATTTACTCGAGAAATACAATCCGCGAAGACGAAATGTAAAACCTGCGGACTTCGAAATCTCTTCTTACTTCGCGTTACTTAACGACGATTTCACAAACCTAGTCATCTCATGCTATTCCGCGTCTGTGTTACCGGGATTATTAAGTGCACTCGAAAGAGACGATTCCCGACGGTTAGGTTCGAGGCGAAACTCCGCAGTCGAGTCGCATAACGACGCCCCCGTCGAAGCCACGGCGGGGCTTGACCCTGACCTATCCCACGTGCAAATGTCGTAAAAGTCTCGCACGAGCTGCGAAAGTCAGACCTATAGACCCGATACCCAGTGACGTCTACTATCTTTCTCTTATTCTATCTTTCTATCTTTCCTTCTCTTCTCGGTGCCTCGGAGAGAAGCGCAAAACCCGACAGACTCGTATACCCGTGCGAAGCGGGTAATTGTGGGTTTTCGATGAACGGAGACAAGCCCGCATTCACATCGAGAACCTGCTCCGAGAAGAGCGCGCGTCGGTTTAATCTTGTAACATTTTCTCGAGATAACAATGCCTCGCTCGCGAAAGAGCGCGAGATAAAATCTGACGGATTTTATCTCGCGATTGCGGCTGAGTGAGACATTAATTTCGAATGAATACGTCTTAAGAGGATCCTGTCTGCTATGCCGAGCAGTAGTTCAGACTTATTTTCTGCTTGAACAGATAAACGATTTTCCAGAATAAAAGAAAAATAATTTTAAAAAATCCTAGCTGTGTGTCAGGATTCGATTTTCTAAAAATTGAACATATTTTTGACAGTTACTGTTATCTCGATTGTACAATATTGCGCTATATTAAAAGTTTTAGAGTTAATGAACGTTCACGTCTCTCGCGTGTGCTATATGTTAGTACTGACAGTAAATATCGGAACGCAGTCTCAAGATATCTCATCGTATTATTCTGGATAACACATATGAGACTATAAACTCAGATCTTACGCGCGATATTAAGAAAATTATTCTCTAGTGTGTACGAGAGATAAGGTTTTTTCTTAATTTAATTTTTATCTCTCTGACGTAACTTTCATTTAACACTCACCTCTTCAAACTAGCATGCTTCGCGCCGTTCAGGATTTTGTTCTTGCGCTCGCTGCCAGTGGTGCTGACGTCGCTGTCGATACTGTAGAGGCTGTCGTCCTTGGTGACTCTGTTGGCGTTGTGCAAGGTCGACTTCCTCGCACCACCTCCGGTGGTTGCAACCGCGGCGGTTCCGTTGTGCTTCGGGCTCTCGACCAAACGGGAGTCTCGCGACTGTTGCGTCGCCGGATGCGGAGAGATCCGGCCGGTGACCGGATCCTCGATCCTGGTGGAGACGATCATCGTTTTAGTGGCATCCGCGTGTTTCCTAGGCGACGTGCTCACCACGGCGGTGTTCTTCTGCAGTTTCGCGGCCGCGCGGTAATTGTTCTGCTGACTGCTGAGCTCTCCGGGCGGTGGCTTGTCTTCCGTCGGCAACATGTACGATAACATCGTCCTCCTTTCCTTCACCTATACAATAGGAAAGACACAAAAAGAAAACGGAAATTCAGTATCAAGAATTGTCGAAGAAGAATGGGGAAGTTCATTAACCGGAGACAACGGCGAGAAAAATACGAAGCGCGACATAAAAGAGATCAATCAAGGGTCGTCGGAAATGAATAAAAAAAAAATAAAAATAAAAATAAAAATCGTTCACGGTTAACAAGAGCGTGACGGCAAAAGCTGGCTTGGCTAATGCTCCAAAATAAATTTGTAAAAAGTAAATATTGTGTTGAGAAATATTTTCAATAAAAAAAAAAAAAAAAAACTCGTCGAGAGCACTAGTATAGGTTCTATTGAGCTTACGATGGAAACAGCGAACAATACCGAGCATTGTTCCCGGGATATTAAAAGGATTAAGTCGGCGACGCAGTTCGATATCTGCGGTAAGCGATTTTACGAAGTCACGCGTGTCGCAGACGCCTGTAATCTGCGTGTATAGAACGGAACGTGTATAGAACACTATTATTAGCGCGATAAGTCAACCGTCTACTGTCAAACCGGCGTGTGTCGGTGCTGTCGAGAGAGTCTTCGCCGGACGCGCGTCATCATCATCATCATCATCATCATCATCATCATCATCGTCATCATCGTCATCATCATCATCATCATTATCATCGTGCAAGTATCGGATTTGTTCGTCGACACAAACAATTCGCGATCAATCGGAACGCTTCGCGAACGAAACGATCCGCTTTAAATGCGTTTACATAGTCACTGACTGACATAGACCCGACGTCGTATTCCTATCTTTAGGCGCCGCCGCGTCTTTGACAACAAAGTCTGCGCGTGTGATATCGGACGTATAAAAATGAAGAACGTACTAAGGAATATTGAATAAATCTCAAATGTCTTATTAACTCTTAACCGACACAAGGTTCGTAAACAGAAATGTTAAGAAAAAAATGCACATGCAAGCTGCATCGTGTTACGGTCGCGTTAATTAAAAACTTGAGAAAATACATACGTATTTAAAAAAAAAAAAAAAAAACCAAAGTGTAAGATAATAAAGACATTTTAAGAGGGTACTGGATATTGACTACAGAGACCTGTAAATCGACGTTTTTTAATATTTGATTTTGTGTCGTATTTACTGCATTAAATCCAAAATACTTCTCCAAAATTAAGTAAATTGTGCTAAGAAAGTGCGCTTTCTTTAAAATGTCAAAAGTCAGCATAAATTTTTTCTTATATAAAGTTTTCTTCTATAACCTCACCGTATCATATTCATGTATGTAGAATTATTTCTAAGCTTCTGTACGTATTTACACTGAATTAGCGCACTAAGTACGACAAAAGAGAACATAATAAGACACTCAGATTATGATTTGATTACCTAATTGATGAGAGAAATAAAAATATTGTGATGACAGAATAGATTATCTCATGTGCTATCATTATGAATAAAAAAAAAAGAGTTCAAAAGAGCATTATATATTCATTTTCAAAAGCACTATGTAGTTTTTTATATTGATTTGCTTCTGTAGAAGCATTTTTCATGCGATGCAGTACACGAAATTAGAAATTAGAGAACTTTAGGTTTAGGACGCTAAAACGTCGATTTACAGGTCTCTATAGTCGGTGTATCAAGTACTCTCTTAACGCTAAATGTCGACAAATAAAACATAGAACAAGTACTTTTCTTTGAGAAAACAATTAGAAGCGGTTGCTAAAGTTCGCGTGTAAACGGAGATGCTGACACGTGAAAATTGAGAACGTTTGTCAATCAAGCTACATATTACGTATTTGAAACGCGACGATGATGAAGAAAACAGATAATGTTTCGCGCATTAAATTACGTTTATTTTTCTACCGATACGATCATTTTTTAGTTGTTCAGATATTGTCTTGCGAGCGTTACAAAAAGTAGGGAAGATGTTGCGAAATCCGTTTCACTGATTCGTACTTCATCCTGATGTCGACTCACCGTGCAAAAAATGTAAAAACTCGCGTTTCTCTGAAGCGGTTTTATCACTTGCGACGCATGAAACTTCACGCATCAGCGACTATCTCTCGCGCGCGTCGCTTCGAGTTCGCGTAAGCTCAATCTTGGTTCGCGCTTAGTCGCGTCCGCTGCTGTTTCCGCGCGCGTAATTTCACACGTCGGCTCATTGGAGTATGCCACGCGCGTCGTAAGCTTAGTACCTCACGGCTGTGTGCTTCCGCGCGACTCGCGTTTCGATTAGCGTGTTCGCTTGTCGCTCGCGCCGGCGCCTGCGCGCTCAAACCGAGTCACTCCCGCCGCGCATAAATTGCGTTTGGTGATCACTCCCGACCGCCTAATTTCACCGCTTTGGCACCGCTTTGGCACCGCTTTCGCGTTTGTAGTACGTAAAATTATTCGAGCGGATCATTTTGCTAATCGTAATGCATACGTCTTGTCTCGTTTGTTGCGTTTGTTAGTCACTCAAAGATTAACACAAAGAAACTAATCGTATTATCACTTTTAGCGATACTTTAAAATATCGAACTCTTCGTCACTGATACTTATGACGCGATTGCTAATTACGACACTTTCGATGCGAGTACGTTCGTACGTCACACTTTCGTTACTCCAGAAAACAAAACGACGCGAAAGATATCGTGGAGAGTTAACGTTCGCGCGCCATAGAATGCTCGGCTGCAACTGAGCGCGACGCAAAAGCGAGGCAAAGGTTACAGGGAAACGGCCGACTATAGCTATGCCTACTCCACTCCGTTCTAGTCGTTCGCTCTCCGTGCCCGTTCTAGACGGGGCATCCTGTGCTCCAAGCGGCGTATATCAATTCCGAGTTCGTATCGTCCTCCGAAGGCACATATATCTTCCATCCTAGCGCCCTGCATCTTGCAGAATACACCGTAGCGTGTTGCCTACGCCGCTTGGTTTCCAACGCGATGTGAATTCCTACCCCACTTGACGTTGGATTTCTACTCGACGGTCTCCCGTGACCGATCGTTAAAGTTACATCGCGGGAGGTTCGCAAAGTTTTTGCGCGAGGCGCTCGAAAGTCGGTCGAATTTGCACGGCAGTAAATTGGAAGTTGTTGCTAGGATTGTCAAATAATCTCGCGTGTACAAACGAGAGTCGACTATGTAAGAGCAGTTTTACACGCTTCTCTAATTGCTTTCTCCGGGAAGAGCACTTTCTCCATGTTTTGTCTCGAATGTGTAATTAAAATTATAGTTTACTGTTATGTAATGTGTTTTTTTAACTAAAAGTTAGATAATTCTAATTATTTTATTTTACTAAATACATGTCCAATAAGAATTAATTAACGCATCGATAAGAGATCTCGAAAGAAGATATAATAAAACAATTGTATATAACAGTTATATACATAACGGTTTCTTAGTATCTCTGAAAAAAAATTTCGAAGCTATATGTGTAAGAATTCGGCATAAATATTTACGCCGCGATCATTGCAGCGCGGAGAGGAAATGTTCTACTAGATTGAGAGAGATAAGATCTCTCTACGAGTACAACTTACACAAGTTGTAATTTGGAATTGGATCATCGAGATGCGCGTGATAAATCTGTGAATCTCTCGCTAGAGATCTTATCTTTTATTAAAATCAAAGATGAATCGAAATTACTCGCGATTTATGAAGAAAAATCAACTACATTGTTTACAAATTGCACTTGAACAATTTTTTGCGACTGATTATATTTATTTATTTAAAATAACTTTCTAACACAAGATATGGAATTGAAGCCTACTTGTTCCGCATAGCTCGAGTATAGAGAAGAGAGATTAAAATTATACACGAATTAGCAACATTTCTCAGTCTTCCGCAAAATCGAAACGCTCGATCGCGTCGTGCTGCGTGCGGCTAAATTAAATAAGTGCACGTTCGTCATGGCAAAACGCCGACGATATCATGGCAGCCGAACTGACCGTGGTAGTCAACCTGTTCCTTTCCCATGCAAACCCCCGTCTGATTTAAAGAGCCCCGAGCCTTTTCGTGCGTGAAGAATTTCACGGCTGAATCGGCTCTTATCCGCTCCCGTTACGCGACTTTGCAAACACCGGAACGGACTCGATTTTCCTTCGGCAAATCACGGTCACGGATATTTCGAAGCTAAATTCGCGACTGTTTCCACGACCACAGTTTGCGGTTAACCTTTTAACCGACTTCGCTTGTTATATTTCCGGTTTTTATAATGTCACAAAGTGTTTGGTCAAACTTGCCAAACACATTGTCGTCGAGATAACAAATTGGTATCTAAAATTCGTAAATTGCACATTTTTATATTATTGTATCACAGGAAGTTTCAAGTGTAAGAAAATTAAACCTTTTAGACAATTTACAAAGAGTTTTAAGTTCTTAAGTTTTCGAACTACGCGAAATTTAAACGATCATGAGCCTTACGCTGGATGTTTGTTGCACGGAATAAATATAAAATATACATATATATATTTCTATTACACTCACGTGTAAATTTTCACACGTGAGTGAATTGAAATTTCAATTTCTAAATTCATATAGGATGTTATACTTGCATCATATATGCCATGGCACGGAAAGCCGGAGATTCCAGGCTCGACTCCTCCGGCATAAGCTGTTTTTTTCGCAATATTTTAAAATTAGATAGGGTAAACGGAGATTTTTTTCTCATATACGTGATGCAAGTATAGCATCCTATATGAACTTAGGAATTGAAATTTTCATTCAAACTCACGTGTAAAAATTTACACGTGAGTGTAATAGAAATATATATGTGTGTATATGTATATTTATATTCCACAAACCGGCTCAGTGGTCTCGCAGCTTGAATGCGAGCGGGAGGATCCGAGGATTCGAATCCTATCCACATTGTCGGATTTTTTCGAGCCGGTCTCTTTCAAGTCGAGTTCATCGATTGAAAACATGAAACTGAATCGGATCTCTAATCAGCTTGAATTGGTTGTGGGAGATGTGGAAGAGGAATGTGAAAAAATATTGTAACTTCTCTGAGGAAAATCACAATAAAAATTCTTTTATCCTTTATAATTATTCCACAACAAACATCCAGCGTAAGTTCTCATGACCGTTTAAATTCCTTTTAGATAAAATGCGGAAACATGTAAACTTAACGTACTCACGTTCGTGCCAAGAAGCACTCGAGGCAAGGATGTCTAGAATATCCTGTTGATGTAGCAGCATCGGGACTATCTGAAATAGAATTTTCGATTATCGTTCGACTCGTATACATTTGAATGTATCAAAATTGTTTTCAATATAAATTTTAGTGGATGGATGTTACTAAAAAATATTATATAAGAACTATATGTAAAATTTATTACAAAATTATTTCTGTGATTTTAAATAGAAAAAAAATCTTTGTTTCTATTCTACGTTGTAAAGAGCCATTTAGGCGCTTTGCAAAGTAACACAAATAAATTGTGTTGTTCAATTACCGAGATATAAAATCTATTCAATTAAAAAAATGTAACTATAGTTAAAAATTCTACTATAGTTTGACAAAGATTTAATATTCTATGTTGAGCTTATAAGCGCTACAACTCATACATCGTCTGACTATGAATACCGCCTATATCTATAGTCTGAAAGAGCTAGATATTGGTCTAGTAACGATGAAACGTTCGCTGAATAGCCTATTACTTGAGAATGAAGAGGACGTTTTACGGCACGAAGTACGACGACGTGGTTTTTTCCTTCAAACCAAGAAAAAAGAGGAAAACGAGGGAAACGAGGAGAGGAAACGATCTCGTCTCTCGCTTGAATGAACACCTGTTTTTTTTTTGCGGACAGGTGACATCACGCATACGCGGGCGTGAGAACCCGAGGACGCACCGAGAGGGCAATGACTTCTCGAACACCGACGTGTGCGCCGACATACGAATAATGTGACCCACCCTGAGAAGAGATTCGCTTCGAGGAGAAAAGTCACTCGTGATTTGACGAAATAGTAGTCAAAACTATTCGAGTTTTCGGTGATAAGTACTTTATGAATTACAGTAATTGAAATTGACCAATATTAATTCGATATAAAAACATCGTGTTATTTACACTCTAATAATATTTGTTCAATGAATTTTGCGAGTTATCGCATATAATCTTATTATACAGATGCACGAAGTACAATTGACGATAAGAAGCCATGTTCAATATCGCGCGCGTCCAATAATCCGATAAGAGTGACCTAAGACTTGATGAGCTGATATCTCTAAGGCTGCGCGTGTGATAAGAAAATCGTACGTGGCGTACGAGATCGGCTCGAACCCCGTGGTGCATAGGAAAATTAAAGAGTCCTACTCGCTCGATTACCACTACCATAACGACGAGCCGACTGAAGTTACGTGAGCTATAACTCATGATTTCGCTTATCACCTGCGTGAGTCACTTCACCTTGCACAGTCAAGGTTGTGTTGTAGAAACAAACGTACGGGCTAATTTTTCTCGACGAGACAAACGACCTCTTTTACTATCATTTTTTCTGACGAAAGAAAGTACTCGATTTATTTTGCGTTTATCAATTTTTCTCAACTGATGCAGAGATAACTAATATTATTATATTAAAGATAACTGAATATAAATGTATGGTTTCTTTGTTTGTTGCGTAACATATTTTTGCTGACAATATTTGTGATCACAATTTTACAAACTGAAAGAAAAAAAAGAACATACCTAAGAAAATATATATGTTAAAAATAAAGAGAGTTCGTTTTTATATACATGATGCAAATCAAACCATTCGATATAGATTTTCGAATTAAAATATATTTGATTGAAATATGTACCGAAACCAGTTTTTGATCAGTACCCAAATTTTAATCAGTTGTTAAAAAAGTATCATAGTAAGGTTTTGATCATAAAAATTAGTCCGAAAAAAATTTTGGCATGATAATTAATTATTCCGACATCTATATATCTCCTTTCGGACTAATTTTGATGATCAAAACCTGACTATACCTAATATTTTTTTAACAAACTGATCAAAAATTAGTAATTTATTATTTCCGTAACGATATTGACACTTTAAAAAATATTTTATCCGTACATCTAGCACTTGGCTCTCTCTTACGTGCCTTGTTATTTCCTCCTTATATATAGTTCAACATTAAGAGAGTCGTGTACAAAATCTGCACAATTTATTGTACATGTTTCTTGTTAACAAAAACACATTGTTATTGTTATTATTATTATTGTATTGACCCAGTTCCGTTCATTCATTTTGTGCATGCGAGGATTAAGTAACACGACGACGAATTATGCACAACGATGGCGGCCGGTTCCGCCGCGATTACGGCGCAATGATGCAATACGCTTGAGTGCGCCGGGGCGCTAAATTGATAAATTTGCATGCCCCGCTGCCATCCTCTGTTGCACTCGCACACGGCGCGGCATCATCCTCGTGCTGCATGACCGAAACGAGCTTCGCTTCGAGAGCAGAATAAATCTTGCTGCTGCTGTTCGCATAATGTAGACGAAGGCAGCTCGTGATAAATCTAGTTCCCCCGCTGGTATCCAAAATGTTTACAGAATATCGAGGGCGTATAAAACGTACACGTAATATAACGCATCGATCAGTAGTTAAAACAAAATAACGTGAAGAGAACAAACGTTTGAAGACTTGAAAAATTTAATGTAATTCAAAGAGAGTCAATGCGAGCCGAAAAACACAAGACAGTAATGTAAAATAATATTTATTTTTGTTTATTTTGAAATGTGTTCAGACATTTCGATCCTACGCTATAAAAACAGAAAAAAAATGTACGCATTTTAAATGAACAATAAATGTAAATATCACATCATTAATAGTGCAATATAAATAATAAAAATCGTATAACTTTACACGTGAACATATATTTTAATCTTGTATTGTGTAAATATACGTTTCTAGTTGTTGAAATTTTACATAAATGATATATTACGCATCAATGTTATATCAAATTTACATTAGAACACGTTACGTTATCTTTTGTTATTTCACGTTTGCATATAAATTTACGATACGTTTAAAAGGTTGCAACTATTACGATCTCAATAATGTTCATTGTTTTCATCGTAATGAAAAACAGACTTACAACAATACCTGTTTTACAAGATATAGATAAGATACAGATAAAAGAAGACCAAATTGATAAGAATTCTCGTTGCGCGTTAAGAGCGATTTTGCAAAAATTTGACGATTTGCAACGGTAAAAAATGACGTAATTTTTCGGACGATTATAGTCAGTACATACAGGATTACGAGAAAAACTCGCGTGTGCGAAACGATCGCGTATTTGCCGATGGTTTTGATGACATCATCGACCAGCGTGTTCAACGAGAAAACGTTTATTCGTATATTTGTCTGGTTACCAGATGCTCTTCGGTCGTCGTGTTGTGTATTTTTATCGAACGGTGAAACGGCGTGAAACGAAACCAATTATATTAACGATTATTTATATTTGCGCGAACGTCGTATTCTATCAATTGCTCCGGTGTGCGCATCTTTAATATGTTCTTCGAATTTAGTATCTCAATTACATTATTATTACACATGTATACATTATTATTCGAATGTTGTTGCATTCGAATGTAGACATTGCAAGTTAGGTCTGGTATATGTATACCCACAAGTAAACTCTCGTGCAACGATTATGTTTCTGCTCACGAACGCGATTTCACGACACGTGCATTGAAAACGCGGATGAAATCATCGCGATGACGTCAACATCTGATTACGCGTCGCTCTTTCTTATCCGCCTCCGCTTTTCGCTCGAGTAAATCACGCAATCAATTATAAGAAAAATTGAGAAAAATACACAAAATAACCTGTTAAATGTTCAACATTTAGGATATTTGGATCTCGATATCTACAGAATTCTTAAATCGTTCTTTAAATACACAAAAAAAAGTTGTGAAGAATTATAAAGATGTTACATCTTTGGATTGAACATTTATTGAAGTACCTGTACGTAAAACAAACGTGAAATATGATTTTGCAGAAAGAACCTATATATCCTCTCATTTGCTTTTCTTAGAACTCGGATATCTGTCTCGTGAAATATATCGCCATTCTTCGTTGGGCACAACCTTTGCGCACCTATGCACTTCCGCTCGAACGGACGCGTGTGCGCGCGTATACTAAATTTTCAACCGCAAAGTTGATTCACGAGCTAACGTGAGTCCAGAAATAGTCAATATATTACAAAGCCGTCGCGCGTAGGAAGGGCCGGCCTGTGGCTCTCGCGCACGACTTTCATTGCCGCGATCTCGCTTGTCGTTGAAAAAAACTGACATTTACTGTCACATAGAGAGAGAGAGAGAGAGAGAGAGCTCTCGAGAGCGCGCTCGTATTAGAGACCGCGTAGCGTACTATCGACGGTCGTCGTGATCGAATTATCCTGCCATCTAATCTAATCCGACACAGTAATTACGACGAAGTCGCTCTGCTGGTGCTCGTTATCTCCTAAACTCGTCGCACCATCCTTATAGGCGAGAAAACGAACTCGCCGGAACGATGCTTTATAAGGTTCGCAACGACAATCGATAAATATGCCATTGAGCCTAGGTTTTCCGATGAAAATTCGTCGAACATCAAAGTTAATAAATCACGACAAATTCAACCACGCGCGTGTGGAAACAACGTAGGTAGGTTGATTTCGCAATCAATGTGCAACGACCCAATAATGTCAAATGAGACTTCAGAACAGAAATTAAGTTTCACGCTCAAATGTCAAGATATGATGTTTAATAATATCAAATGTAAAAAAGCCTTTCGGCCGTAAAAAAAGTCAATTATGATTTTAGATTGATAATCTGTGTGATTGATGGAAAGGTCACGAGTGGAAGCGCGCGAGGAGAAGACGCGCATAAATTTACGCTGCCAATTAATTTCCCATCTAGACGTCAATTTGGTTTAATTAGACATTCACCGACACCTAAGCGTCGAGATAAATTTTCTCACCAGATACGGACATTAATAACACGAGAACGAGTAGCGCGACATTTCTTACAAGCACTTAGACGATTAAGAACGAAATAATCCTCAATTATATCGCGTCCGTCTGTCCCGCTATTTTCTCTCCCTCTCTTTCTTTTTTTCCGTGGCTTCCGGCACGACTCCGGTAGAGATATAACGTTAACTCGCGACGCGATTTCCGCCGACGTGACTTCCTGCTGGAGTCAAGTATGCACTCCGCAGAGATTTTCTGAGGAGCCTC